ATCTAAACAAACGCAGCAATAAAAAAAGATTTCAACTACAGCAGAATAAATAATTCAGTAGGGATGATTTGTTTTACAAACACCACAAGAAATATTTTTCATATAATAATAAAAAAGGAATTAAAAAAGCTTATTGATGGAAAACACAATTCACTTTTGAGCATAATAACATTTAAAAAAAATTTATTTGTATTCCTTGAATTATTTTTCTAATCCATATTAGAACAAAATTTCTCATTATGAATCATAAAAGTAACAAAATATTATAAACATAAAGCAGATGCAAATTCATTATCGAAGCTTATTGAAATAAAAAGTTTTTTTTTTCATTTTTATGAATAAATAACATTTTTTAAAAAATGAGCAAATAATGAAGAAAGGAAACTAGAAAAGTCTCTTATTTTATATACAAAACAAATTAGAATTTAATAATTTCAGAAATTTTTAATCTATTATTTTTATACTGTTGAAATTTTACCTTATTTGTATAAAACCGCCTGATTTTTCTTTATTTAAAACACTATTTAATATCAGTATCTTTTGTTTACTCTGTATACAAAATGAAACAAATGAAATTCAAATTTAAAATTATATAATTTTTTTCGAATAAATAAGCTATCTAATAACTTTGCAGTTCAATAGAAAATGTTTTTTGTGCTAAATAAGCACTTTTAGAACTATTTAAAGCAAAACGTATTTTTGACATGTTAAAACATTCATCAAATTTTAGTTTAGTTAGTTTTACCATATTTAATCATTTTAATTTCCTAATTTTCTAAATAAAATAAAATAGAGTCACTAAATCCTTAATGTATAATATAGAACCAATCATAAGCAGCAAGTTGATACATTGTCATAATCAAAACAAAGAAATTTCGCTATCTTTGTTTTTATAAAAAAAATGAATATAAAAATGGCATAAAAGAAATTTTCTGGAGTGAGTAATGCTTCAAATAGGAGAGAACTGGAAAATGTCCAAATGAAATAAAGAAAAGTGTAATAAAAGCGAAAAAAAAATCCAAAGTAAATAAAAATGTTCAGGTGTTGAAACAACTGCACTCTTGTAAGATAGGCGAAAGAAAAAATTGCACCGGATGTGCTTCTTTCTGATTATATTGGAACACGAGTTTCAGATATAAAAAACAAAACTATCATGTATTTGGATCAAAACAAAAGTATCATACTCGTCCAGTTTCAGAGGATATATAAATTGTTTTGTTTCGTGAGTTTCTAAAAATAGAGAGAAGAAACCAAGTTTAAAACTGTTGTCCACCGCTGTTCGAAAACATATAAATTTTAGAATTGCATTACAAATTTGAAAAAAAAAATTAGAGTGTGTTTAATTTTTAAAGAAATACTTCAAAATTTTTATTTTCGCCTCTAAATATGTACATCATATTTTTGACTGTGAGATCAATATTGTCAATTCTTTAGGAAAAAAAACCTGGTAAAATTATTGTTCTATGTGGTAATGACATTACTGGTAAAAAAAAAATGTGGTAATTGAAACCAAATTTAAACCATTCGTATGGGAAATTTTCCATTCATATGGTAACGGTTTTCCGAAAATTCTGGCTGTCAGAATTATGGTTCATATTACAGCACATATAGTAAAAATACAAATCTGAATAGTAAATTTAACTGAATAAATGGTTTTAAGTCTAGCTTTGTGGTATGAAAAAAAAATTATTAAATTTTATCAGGTTTACCAAGTCTTATCACATTTAAAACTTATTTTATTGTTAATTTCAACAAATTCTTCGGTAAAAATTACGGAGCTTTTTGGTGCTCCCATGGAGCCAGTGTTAATTTCATATCTTTAGGAGGCAAAATTTGGATGTTGGATTAAGATTTTCAATAAATGTGAACTTTTTGAACTTGCAGACAAATGGAAATTAAAGTATAACATGTAATATATTTGCTCAATACCTGTTCTTCCTAAGGGGTAGAAAAAAGTAAGCAATTAGTATATCAGTATTTAACAATACTACGAAATCCAGCACAATTAATAAAGCTTAAATAATTCCGTTTTTTAAATTTTTTATCGTATTTTGTCTTTACCGCTCTCTTCAGGATATTAGATTAAGAGAAACCTGTTTTTAGATTTTCCTCACATCAAAATACTCAGCACAATTAATGAAGCTAAATGATAATTTTTTTAAATTTATTACTTTATTTCGTTTTTTCCGCTAGCTTCAAGTTATTAGATTAAGGAAAACATGTTTTCAGAATTTCATCCCATCAAAATACTTAGCACAATCAATGAAGCTAAAATTATTCCTTTTTTTAAATTTATTACCGTATTTTGTCTTTTCCACTAGCGTGTTATTAAATTAAGAAAAACATGTTTTTAAAATTTCATCTCATCAAACTACTAACGAGTGGAGGGTGGGGTCAATTGTAAAATTTTTTACTTAACTATTTTTAACTAACAAAAAATCCAATATATTATTAGTATTAATTGACAGACGAGTAAAGTGGACTATCCTCTACTAGAAAAAAAAATAAATACCTTATTTTAAATGTTATTATATTAGTTATTAACAATTTTTGACAGTCGTGCACTTGTTACAATTGTCCCCACTTACGGGGTCAATTGTAACAGTTCATAAATTCAACTAAAACATAGCTAATTTTACATATTATCATAGTTGTGATATATTTTTTTACTGATCAAAATAGTAGTGATATTTTAGGAATAAAAATAATAATGAGCAGAGACTTAAAGGGTTAAACGTTTAACTTTAAGGGGTTAAAAATTTTAATTTATGCTGTGAAAGGTGACAAATGAAATAATGCACATGCAACATAATATAAATGATATAGGAAACTACTGGCGGTTCTTAAAGAGTTCGGTTTGTAAACATAAGATTATTTATTTTCAGCTGTTACAATCGTCCCTTTACTTATTGTTACAATCGTCCCCAAGACTCCATTTCAGCTTCATTTGTTAAAAACAATGCTAGTTATTTAACAAAACTAATATTTTTTCTTGGAAATGTTAATTAATGTGTCCACTTACATATTCGGTAAAATAATTTTTATTTGTTTAAACAAAATTACTTTGTTACAATATAATATTCTAATACCAAAAAAAGTACTTACTTAGCGTGAAAATATATTTTGTGATGTAACTCTCTCAAAAGTACATAAAAAAGGCCAACTCATGATTGTCAAAATTAACCATATTCACGCTCTTTTCTCCTTTACTTATTCTCTTAGAGGGAACTTGAAATACCATCCTTCACAGTATCTTTATTAAAACATCGACGTATTAATGCAGTATTGTTATATAATACATTGTACCAATATTTTTATAATTGGTACCTATCTAAAACACCACCAACTACCTCATTGGCGTCAATAATAATATGGCGATATTTTACATTTCTCCTTTTTACATTTTTCTCTCCATTAGTTCTGTTCCTCTATTGATTTTGCTTATATTACTTAGAGTATATGGCTTATTCTTTTAATTCCAGTTAGTACTTATTATCAAAATTTCTTTTAATATTCTAATTTCAAAGACTAATTATTACCAAAATTAACTAAGCCTCGATAGTGTCAACATTTATAAGGCAATTTTTAACATTTTTCCTTAATGATTTGTTACCGTTTTCCTATTTATTTTGCATATTTTTATTTGCATAGCATATTTTGTGTATAAATTTGGTACTTATCAGCAAAATTAATCATGCCTCACTGGAATCAATAATAATATTGCGATTTTTCATGGTTCATAAAAAAGAATATGTTCTTTTTCCTTATTAGTTTTGTTTTCTGGAACACAGCTATTTTACAAATTAAATTATGAAGTAGTAATAAATTTTATCAAGCATCATTGACATCAATATGAGTAAGGCGATTTTAAAAGCTACTCCTTCATGGATGGATTAATAATCTTTCTCCATTAATTTTGTTTTTTAATACATAACTTTTTTTAATTTAGATTACTGTTGATTGCAAATGATTTAGTTTTGTAGATTTTATATTTTAAGAGCTTGAGTATAAACAAGATATGCACGTGGTTCCAGGTAACTAAAGTTATTTAAATTTTCAATTTGTGATAGAAATGCCGATTCAAAATATACCCCCCCCCCCCCNCCCCCCCCCGAAAAAAAAACGTAATTCAAAATCAGATGACAAATCATCAGTCTCAATTTTCAATTAACTGAACACATAACACTTAGTTATTATACGATGTTTTCTGTACTAATGATTTTTAAATGTCCAATAAATCAAAAAATATCAAGAAAACACAAATAAAATTTTCCTCAAAATATTTAACAATATCGTATACTTCTTTTTACTACTGAGGGACTCTACATTTATTTATTAAGAATAATAATTTTTAAATCGTTTTCAAGCGTTAAAACCGAAAACGATCACTAATTTCTCTTGTAGCGGGCGATGTCTCTGATGAGTTAATGATTCTTAATCTCGTGTAGTATTCAGCGAAAAATAAACACAACTCTTATTACAATTAATCGGAGCTTTATCTGCTTTACTTAACGAATGCGTGTTTCGGTAATACTTTATTTCATTTTTAACGCGCACTCAATAAACTCTGAAAACTGTTTTCAAACGGAGAATTTATTTTGAAATTAACCAATAACTCAATAGTTTTGAAGTCGTTTTCAAATAAAGAAGAATGTATGCTAAATTAAAGTGTTTATTGTTCAGTCCTTTTCAAAATCCATCACAAAAGAGCTCCTTCTTCGAAAATGACTTCCATCGATTTGGTGCTTGTAGATATTGATTTGCGGTAAACCAAATCTGTTTGAGAGTGGTAGTGTCTTCCGATGCGTTCTCATAATAGCAGGTGTTCTTGAAGGTGATATCACCACCGAAAAATAAAAATCTTAGAAAGATTAGAACAAGGTTCCGGTGATGACAGGTGTCGGTGGGGCCGCAGTGTACGGGTAGGTTATACAACTCGAAATGGCCACCAGGTAGCGCTCTCAGAAAATTTCCACCTTTCTCTTCGGTCAAATTGGTATCCGGCAGTCCGGCAGAATTGCTCCCCGAATAAACGAGGAGCGCATTCATGTCCCCGGATAGCGGGTTCTGTTGACACTGTTGCCCTGGCGGGTCCCGACGACCTAAGGTCAGTCCTATTATTTTATTACCCCTTCAAAATATTGTTTCAGTGCTGTTATGAACTTAAATTGGTGCTCTGTGTTGTTCAAATATAATTGCCTCGTATGATTCGCATCCGGGTCTTTTTTTGAAGAACTGAAGTGAAAGTTTATGATTTTTGTTTTCAAGGTTTCTCGAAGGATATATTATAAATATTACATGCAAAATCAAATCTTTTGGATAAAACGAGGAATATAATTTTTTTTTTGATTATTTTAATCAAATTTGAGTGTTATATAAGTCCCGTTTAGCATGAAAATTAATTTGTATTAATTTTTAAATAATGGAATTTGTTTCATAGTTTTAGTTTTCGGAATGTAAACTGTTTTTTTTTTTCTCTTTTATTTGATAATTGATTCATTCGCTATAAAGTGGAAGTTTTAGTGTTAATTTAATGCTTATGGTTAAGTATTCAGATAAATAGTTTCGAAAAAATAATTTTTTAGATAAAGATATGAAGGGTAATCTGTGAATATATTTTTTTGCTTAGCTGAAAGTATTAAAAGCCGCATGAAAATTTATCCCGATTTCTATGTTGTTTAAATGCAAATATTCAAATTAACAATAATTGAATGTAAATTAATGTTTAATTTTATTTTTGATTAAAAAAAAGGGGTTACGTTAGAGTTTAGAAGTTTTCTGTAAGAGATAAGATGTATATTCAATTGTTGTGCGGTTAGAGTGAATTTAAATTCTATTGATGAACATAATTTTAATTTTTTCACTTCTATTATAAACTAAATAATCAATAAAAAAGAATTCTAAATAATTTTATAAAGGAGCGATTTCCATAAAAATTAAAATATTCCTAACAAACATTATATTTAAAAAACCTTTTGCTGTTTGTTAAAGTGTTGATTAATTTTCCTTACTTTAAGCTTCGATTTCTTAAAAGTTTTAAATGTATTTACATTTCTATAATTGTATCTGTGTGCTCACAAAATTTTGCTCATTGTAATAAAAAAAAAATTCTAAATTCAACTTTATTTTAAGAAAAAATATAAATTGATCTTTGAGTTTAAAATATCTTTTACTTAGTGAATTTATTGAAATAAATAGCTTTGTTTCAAAACTCATTAGTCCTCTTTCGAATCTTTAAATCATTCTGAAAATTTTGATTCATAGAACTTTCAGAGGTTGTGAAATCGAAAAGAAATACAGTCGCTCGCAATGTTAAAATAGAAGTGTATACTTATTTTTTTCATTAGTTGTCTATTATAAAACATAAGTTACTTCTCCTCATTGTTGGAAATCATCCAGTTACAGATTTCGGGAAAGAAAGAGTGTTCGTAAAGTATATGTGTTCGTTCGTTTGTAAAAAAGATTGAGAGGAAAAGAAAGTTAATTGACTTGATTTTTTTTGTGAAAAAGAAACAGCACTCTCTTCAGCAATTGATAATTTAAAACTTTTTTCAGTGAATTATTACATAAGGCCTGTTGATAGTTCTGAAACATGTGTAAAAGATATTCATTTCAACAATTGGTTAGCGTTTTTATTTTAATTTTGTACCATTTTAGTAATCAAGCACTGCTGTAAAAGATGTTATAAAAATGTCATCATCATCCCTATTATTTTTTCTATTAAATTTAATAGTAATTTATGAGTATTAAAACATGTATTAGAGTAAACTAGAGTAAACTTTTAATACTTCGGAAATTTCTCAATACTAGATTGTACCTTTTGTAGTAAAAAATATTGTTTAAATAATAAATGAACAACTAAATACAGAGACGACTTGACGCATTTTTTTTCTTCAAATTAATATACAAGCATTTACAAATCTGTCAAAAAATATAATTATTACATTAATTCAATATTTATATTATTTATTGTCAATACTTTTTAGGTCTCATTATCGTATGTGATATTATAAATTCAAATTAAGCACCAGGATTATTTATTTCCTACATTTTTCATATATCTTATTTTTCAATACTTTTAACGGTATTATTCATGCTTTGAATTGAATATTTTAGAACTGTAACTGTGAAAATATTTTTTTTTTCGTAAAGATACATAACTTTTATGAGAAAACAAATAAATCTCAGTGCTTTTAGGCTTATCTATAAATCCAAAATATCCATATTTCATGTTTTTTTTAAAAATTAATTATGAAATTTCCTGATTATTGAATGCATAAGTGTTTTAAACTGAATATTAATGCGTTCAAAATTTCATCTAAATATGGAACAGAAACAAGCGAAAGATTGCGTTAATTGACTAGCGCTGTAAGGGGCAAACATATGGTGTACATATCAAAATGACATAAACAATGTATCTGTTGTCATGTAGATTAAAAAAAAATTAAAATATTGAATATGTTAAAACCCTTGTTAAGTTTAGTACTTGCAAAACATCTAATAATGTAGAAGTTGTATTTCAGATTCATACCACTTTTATCGTCGCTACACTGAAAGAAAATATGGTCGAAACTACAGGAATAGGGTTAAATTTACCATGTTTCTGGCTCTTTGAGACCAATAAAAAACTCGGTAAATTTTATTAAAGCCCTTTAGTAATGATTTTGGCAAAATTAGCAACAAAATATGGTTTTATAATATGTGATCAATTTCGATAAATGTGGTGAAATTTGGTAATTCTAACATGATACCTTAGAGCAATAAGCAATTGATTTATTGTTTATTTAATAAAATTTACTTTTCAGTTTTATATGCTAAAATTCCGGCTTTATTTGCTATATATGTCTGGTAGAATATGTGATAATAAAAACTATAATTTTGAAAAGTAGAATTTCCGGTAAATCGCTACCATATAAACAAAAAACTTTTCTAATGAATTGTTTAAATACAGCATATTTTTATTTTTATTACCAGAAATATCTTGTTTTATTAGACATGTCATTACCTTACAGTACGGCAATTTTACCCGATTTTTTTTTTCGTGTACCAATGATCGATTTGCCACACGCAGCATGAGTAGGCATTGAGGTTTACAAATAGCAATGTTAGTTGTATTGCACATTTTTTTCATATTATTATCAAATCTGAAATTTGATCTGATTTTTTTCAGATTATTATTAAATTTGAAATTAAAGTTAAATAAAACCTTCAATACTATGAATTATATTTTACTTATCAAGAAAAGTACAAATTGTTATTCAGCAATGTCTCCATAAAAAAGTTATATCGATGTTTTTTACATCAAAATGGAGCCTTTTGTAAAAAGAACTTCACGTTTTAAAAAAAGGAAGCAAAGGAAGAAAATCAGAACTAAATCTTGAGGTTGATTTTTATCAACGTGTCTAGTTTATTAATCTAAATGGTGCTAAATATTTATCAGTAAACTAATTATTATTATTATTTTTTTAATTTTACACTTTTAACATGATAGATCTGCTTTAAATAAAATTGAGTTAAAAATAACTTTTTATTAGTTTAACAACACAATTTCCACTATATTCAGAATAGTTCAGCAGTACATAACGCAAATATTTTGCTTAATATTTGGCATGCGTTAAAAAGTATTCTGCTAACACATATTTTTATATAATTTTATAACCGTCGATGAAAAGTCGACCCAATTTTGGACTATACGACTGCCAATTTCCAACTCCGTAGCCTTGTAGTTTGAGCCTAATCCAGAAGACAAGGGAACTCCTGAATCAAGTATTGAGAAAAGTTTGATGAAAGTAACCCGCATTTGCGTTACGTGGGGAGGAAATACCACGAAAGCCACTCACGATTAACCTGATGGTAATGGACTCTAACTCATGATCCGTCTACCACTGAGGATATTTTACGGTAGCACTGTGGTCGATGTGAGCCGGATGAGGAATTCGTATCTACCAACCATCGCTGGTATTCGAACCCGGTTTACCTCATTGGGAGGCGAACGCTTTTACCCCTGAGTCTCCACGACTATTACGTATACTGTACGATTAAAAGTACTGGAAACCTGAGTGCAACATTTGTGATTAGAGAAAAATATGGTTAAAACTACCAAAATGTGGTAANGTATTCGAATCCAGTTTACCCCTGAGTCTCCACGACTATTACGTATACTGTACGATTAAAAGTACTGGAAACCTGAGTGCAGCATTTGTGATTAGAGAAAAATATGGTTAAAACTACCAAAATGTGGTAAAATTGAAGCGATTTTGGTAATTAGTTTGGTAGAATTAACAATGCAATGGTTTCAGAATATGTGATAAAATTTGGTATTTTTGTCATGATACCTTAGAGCATGGCATTAAAACTGTTTATTCGGTTGAATTTACTTTTCAATTTTGCATTTTTTACTAAATGTGTGGTAATCAGAGATATTTTGGAGAAAGATAATTTCAGAATTCAATATAAAAGAAAAATTACTTAATGAAGGGTTCAAAATTCATTTATTTTAGATTTCATTAACCAGAACTATGATTCTTCTTACCAGAAATGCTATTACCATCCAATACGACAATTTTATGGGTATATAATTATTTTAAATTATTTTTTGATTATTCTTAGAAAAACAAAGAATGCAGAAAGCTTTCTTCAATTTGAAATAAAATTTGCATCAAAAGATTAGACAAAATTAAGATCTGCCTTTATCATAAATACTAAATAAATATCTATATTGCCTAATTTATTTGTCATTTTTGAATAAAAATTAATGTTAATGAATAAAATAAGTATTTCAATATTTTTCTTGCATAAAAGGCAAATAAAAATATTTTTATACACAAGTATTTAATTTTGCTGCATTTTGTTAGCTTCTATAATAAATGAGCATAAATAAGGAAAAAATGAAACACTTTGTGAAATACGACTACAGACAACATTTAAGACTCTTTTCCTTGAAAAGAATAAAGTAGTTACCTGTATATAAGTATTCTAGTTCTCTTAATTATACACTTAAATTTGCATTATTAAACTTTGAAATAGGATTTAGTACAATTCTTAAACCATCCATACGAAAATAAAGTCTTAACTATTTATAAAGCTTTAATAAATTTAATTAAGCAA